CGACAAATGAATTTTTTTCATTCATTTGTTTGCTAAATTACATCTAAAAAACATTTTTAAAATTTTTGAAAAATTTTCCATGCTATTTCCATACAAAACTTTGATTGAATTGCGCTCTATCTAAACGTTAATTTTAAGAGCTAAAACTTTCAGAGAATTGTTTTTTATCAATTTGGAACCATTTGAGCCCCTGGGAGCAAGGAAATTCGAAAATGATCATTTTAAGGACCACCCTAATATATATATATATCATATTATTACATATATGAAACCTTGCTTTTATAGTGCATCTATACTTATTGATACTCATTTTATACCTGAAAGCCTCCAACAGGTAAATCAGTATCTTTTGAAGTAACTTGAAGTTGATAAATCCACTCAATAATATTCTGTTTTGTCTCGTCATCAAGCGTATCTAGAGAGTTTAAAATATCCAATCCCGACAGAGCAAAGTAGGCAATCATGAGTCTGTTAGATAAAAAAAAAAATTAATTAATAACAAGAAATATTATATTGGTGTAATATATATCTTAAACATTCAGTTTACTATGAAGGTTGAATAATTTATAATTTTCATAAATAATATAGTTTATTTTGCAAAACTTTTGAATAAAAATGCTTTTTATGCAAAATGTTGAGTTTGATATAGAATATCATAGATGTGATTTATTGTAATGTTATGTTATCCAAATGATCTGCATCCCATCAATAAAAACTGTATGAATAGCAAAAATGAGTTAAATTTATATGGATAGTATAAATCCTTTGTAGGTTTTTGGATATTCATAGGTTATGTAAAAAAAAACCCTACAATTCTTAGAATTTATATTGATGTAATGCCCAATCATTCAAACTCAACACATTTATACTCAGATACATGTGTGCAATTTTAAATATTATTTGGTTTTAACCACTGCTAATAATTATATTTTCATTAAGCTATGGGGCTGGTCGAGTAAACCCAATATTGTGAAGATAGAGATAATTCAATAAAATGCTCTAAGAAGTATTACAGACACACGCTAGCCCGTCTCCAAGTTCACAATTCATAATGATTTCAAAAAGCCTTTCAAAGAGAAAGTAATTAAAAACAGAAGCAGTACTCATATATCCAAAATTGAGGATCATCCAAATGAATTACTAAGACCAATTATAAGAATAGTATAAGAAGACTAAATGGCCAATGCGTACAAGTCGATGTAGAAATGAAAACAACTGCTAATAATTATATTACCATTGAGTTATGGGGCTGGTCAAGTAAATCCAATATTGTAAAGATAGAAAAAATTTAATAAAAAGTTTTAAGAAATATTACAGACACTCGATAAATCGTCTCCAATTTTATAATTCATAAAGGCTTCAAAACAACTTTCAAAGATGAAGTAATTAAAGAACGAAGCAGTACTCATGAATCAAAAATTGAGGATCATCCAAATGAATTACTATGATAAGTTCTCAATATGCCAACTAAAAGAAGACTAAAAGAAAATAATGGTTGACGTATACAAGTGAGTACAATATTGTGAAGATGGAGAAAATTCAATAATGGATTTTAAGAAATATTACAGAAACATGTTCATAAGTCTTCTATTTTACAATTCATATTGTCTTGTAATCCAGTCATTATAGTAAGCTCACCCTGGAATTCGATATACCCAGCTGTAAGTCTGTAAATACATGTATATTGACACCCTAAAGATGTAGGCTTTGAGACAACTTTAGTGTGTCAATATACAGACTTACAGCTGGGTATCTCAAACTCTGAGATTCTTACCTAGTTTAAGCTTAAATGACTGGGCTATTGAAAATACCTTCTATAGACGAGGTAAATAAAGAAAGAAGCAGTACTCGAGTATCAAAAATTCCATATCATTCCATTTCAAAAATTGAGGAGCATCAATTGAGTAACTAGGAGCAGTACTCAATGTATGACTCGACAAATATAGACCTATGGTCCTGCCATAGCTTTAGTTAGAAAATCACTCGGTGCAGTGATTTCTAAACAATTTAAAAATAATATTAACTTTATTTTGATCCATTCATAATAGCTTATACAATTGTATTATTTGGATTGTAGGATATAATGCCATGGAGAAATACTCTCCTTATTATGAGAGTATCCTTATTATATAAAAATGAAGCAAATAATAAAAGTATCAATTAATTTGATAGACCCAAAATAGGTATAAAAAACCATTGAAGTAAAAGATTAATTTAACTGTCTTTATGGACTTGTATTGACATTTTGCATTGGCAATTATTATATATTATTATATGACAGTTTTTTTAATTACTTAATCTGATTTGTTATAAGTCAATAACAACATACCTTGTAGTATCATGTGAACTCAATCTCCCAGGTAATATTTTCAAAAATCTTAAAAAATATTTGACGTGCTTTCCATGTGAGAGCTTTGGTAAATTTTTGAGATCATCTCCACATTCCTTATTGAATGACTCAGAAGAATTCATGGTATAAAATATAAAATAAAATTATCACTAAACCGGTAAGTTGATTTTAAATACTGAATTTACAAGAGTATTAATAAAATTATGAATATATAATTTTTGTAATTTAATAAAAAGATATAAAATTAAATAAAATACATGGTATATAATGTGGGGGTTCTAAAATACTATATATCATTTTGACGTATATAAGATAACCATGTTTCACAAACTAACGAATTCCGATAAACGTCACAAGTCGAGTTATGGCAGAGGCTTCAAAGATGGCGGAAGGATTATGTCAAAAATTTATGGAAGGAAATGGAATATGTCAAGTTTCTGGAAGGAATATGTCAAATTAATTAAATTCATATTATTAACTAGTGGAAGGAACATTTTGCCTTAAGGCAAGTTGCATTAACTTTCCGATACATATATGTAATGTACATAATGAACTTAATAAGAATTGATATTCAGCTATTTTAGGGGCGTCCATTAACCATGTGAGCGAGTTTTTGAGGATTTTTGGACCCCCCCCTCACCCTTGGTGATCCATGTTGATATTCAAAATTACCACCCTCTCCCCGCCAAACACCACGTGTATTTTCTGTTGTGTGAAAAAACTGTACATTTTTTATTTTTTTTTTGAAAACGTTTGAACTTTTTTTTAAAAAAATGTTAAAAAATAAATACACGCGATATCTTACCCCTTACGCCCAATCTCTCACGTGACATTTCGTAATTTTTGGTGAAACCCCCCCCCTCCCCCTAAAAACCGCACGTGATTAATAGACGCCCCCTTTGGTAAAATGTTCAACCGTTGATTTCAAAAATGAAATTTTTGCTTTGACTACAAATTAATTAGTTGGATTTCCAACTGACGTATTACAAATATAGTTATAATGTATCCAATTGTATAAATTAATTTGTGTAACACATTTCATTTCATCCAATGTACTTTATTTAAGTGTGGACGTAAACTGTAATCAGTAAGCACATATGCACGATAGGCTCAAATTCTGATTAGAATCTCTTAAGCAGTATTCTAATTTTTAATGATTTTTTGTAATTCAACCACTTATCGTAGGACTATAATGTTTTAGTATGTTATTTCAGACTACGATATCTAAAGTCATACAAAGTTTCATTAAAATCGTCCAAAAAACGCAACATTTAATTGTAAAAAATGGGTCCAGCTCATCTTTACCAAAAGTCTTATTTAAATAACGTGATTTTCAACCAATATATTTTGAACAATTGTTGATTTTTTTCAATCGATTCGAGACTGCGGGCTAAAAAGTCGACAAAAATTTTGACATTTTCCTGCTAATTAAAAAAAAGGCTGAGCCGATAAACTCTAATCCTTATCGAGTTACATCGAATAACTTTTAAATTTTTCAAAATCGGTTCAGTCGCTTACGAGAATACGTAGACAGAAAATTAAAAATCGGCTCGCATACGCACACACATCCACACACACGATTTCCTAATTTTTTTTTATTCGATTCAGAATGACTAGAATTGTCGGATTTTTTCGCAAAAAGAAACTTCTTCTGGAAGTTAACAAATGTTAAAGATAAGTATAAAAGGATAATGATAATAATGTAGACATTTTTCTGACAATTTTCTGTGTCGTAATACTTTTATGTCTATCTTTATTATTATTTTTAACATAAATGTGCACTTAAGCAATTACCAGAGCTTCCATCCGCTGTATAAATGTAGAAAATTCCGGCTTCCGCTTGACTAGTAGTTCTGGAAGGTTGACTTGCTTTGGGAAAGTCGAGGCTTAATCTTCAAAACTATTTCAATAATAAAATCGAAAATGTAACATGAATACTGTATTTATGCTTCAACGCTTATGCCAGCATAAAATAATTACCGATTTATATATAAACAACTTTGTAAAGCAGTCAAGTTCTATATATTTATAGTTTTCTTGGTTTATTTTGTACAAACTTCAACAATATAATTAATAATTAGAATAAATTATATAATAATCAAAATATCATAACTGTTATACTATTATTACGTATAAATTTTATCTACAATAACGAAAATGCCAAAAACATTTGGTATCCATCAGCGTTCAGAACTATGGGAAGATTAGTTCTGAAACTGATAGACTTGACATTTAACAAAAATGAAAAATCTTCAGAACATGTAACCAAACGGGCGTAGCGCTGTGCGTTAGCGTCCCATGTGGAAATGGGGACGTTTTCACCCACCAGCCTCGCGTGCAAAACAACAACAAAAAGCGAGAGCTGTCTCCCAAAGCGAAATGCGATTAAGAATCTTTTCGCTATTTGTACAACACAGCCCGCAGAGAGCAATGTATCTGCACCAGTCATTCAGATATAATCACTTCAACATTTTAATTTGATATGGTATTCAAACTTTTTTCCTTTACATATGGATTAGTATGCAGTTATCCAGTTTTTAAGATGTTTAATAAAACATATGATTGCAATAAATACAAGTGCAATGCTAGCTAATAACAAGCATATATAAACTTATTTTAAAATTTAGTAAAAAATATACTAAAAGCTGGTTCATAGACACTGATTCATATGTAGGAAGTTCTTTACCAAGGCCAATAAACTCTTCAATTATTATCCTGAACTACTTTTCAAAAATTTCAGTGTGATTAACTTTTTGTAAAATCGTCGTTTCTTAGCGAACCAATGCATTGCTGAATAGTGCGCCGTGTTGTACTGTTCATTTCTATGTACAGCAATTGTACTGCTTCTACATCGCGACGCGAGTTTCATGTCCAGACACGACGGTGGGAAGGTTGCCGTCATCTGCACGCGATCCTCGCGTAAGCGTCATTATGAAGCACATTCCCGAATAGAAAAAACGTCAAGAACATTGTGTGACATGTGAAGTCTTTGTTGTGTGAATGTGGTGAATGTCTAGTTTATAATAATAAATATATTTTATACAATGGCTAAAAATCTTTAAAGTGTTAACAAACAAGCAACCTTTTTATTGTTATATCATTTTTGCAGGCAAACGTTTTAAAAAGTTTTTTTTTATTTACCGTAATTATTACATACTAAATTCAATTGATTATTCAAAAGCCTATTATTTTTTTATTTATTATTATTATTTGAATAGCTCGCCCCACCCCCTTAATAACATCGCAGAAAGAAAATAGAGCCGAAGAGTGCGTTTTGTAAGAAGCCGTTATTAGTTATTATTTAATTTATTTATTTATGTTTTTTTATTTTGTTAATGAAGTAAAATTGTTCGCGGCACCACTAACTTATTTCAGAGAGTCACTGTTTTAGCACTAGGCGTCTCACGCTTCGCGGAGCCGCGTCACTAACGTTATTAGTTCTGGTGTCAGGAGTCATCGTTGCGATCATTGGGGGCGAGGCGAGCCCCGGCTCAAACGTCCGCCGTGCGCGATGTGGCGCTTGGAGAGCGCGAGTGCAGAACGACGCGTGGCCCGTTCTTCGTCACGTAGCCATCGCTTTCCACCAGCACGGCAGTCTGTCTCGCCTCGGAGCCGTTGGCTTCATCATCCGCCGTATCGTCGGCCGTATCGCCGCCTTCGCCTTCTGTGTCGCCATCGCGGTGTCGTTTGTGCTTGCGCCACGCGTTCTGTATCAGACGAGCGCAATATTCCTCGCGTTGCCGCCATAGCGTCGAGCTGACGGGCTCGTAGCCAACTTCGTCCGGACGTGTGTTCACGCCTTCCAGATCGCCCGTCTCTTCAATCGGATTGCCTTTTCGGGCGAAGAAGTCCTTCGTTAAGGCATCCAGAATGTCTACGCAGAACATGTTATCGCCTTTGCAAATAGGAATGTCCATAGAGACAATTTTATATTTATTTGGTTTGTGAATCTGGAGCGGTGGCTCAAGAACGTCCAGAAAATCTGACAGCTGATCGTAACGGATATATTGCGTTCCGTCCGGATCAAATTGCTGCCATATTTCATAGTACATATCATAGTCATCATCTGTCAAACCTTCTTGCACATCTTCTGTCGCCTGGGAATAGTTCTCGAGAATGACAGCGATGTACATGTTGATGACAATCAAGAAACTGATGACGAGGTAGGAGAGTAGATAAGTAATGCCAATAGTGGCTGAACCGCAGTTTCCAGGGTAACCGATCTCGTTGTTCGGTTGCCGGCAATCTTCTTCGTTAATAATTCCGTCTAACACAGAATCCCAACCAGCAGATGTAGACATCTGGCAAAATGAAAAAGATGCTTTCTTTACAAATTTAATTTAAAAAATATTAACAATAAAAAAATAATTTGCGCCGACTATAACTTATAATCTACACGAGGTTTCATTTTCTTTCATAATAGTATAATTTTAACATTTTTTAATTGGTTTTTCTTACCTGAAAGAGAAGAATCATACTCTGCCCAAATGTCTTGAAATTATAAACATCATCAAGACCGCTCTTGTCCTTGACGTGCATGAAAAATGACATGCCGAATATAGCGAATATGAACATGACAAGAAACAGCAACAAGCAAATATTAAACAGAGCTGGCAAGGACATGGCAAGCGCGAACAGTAGCGTCCTGATGCCTTTGGCTCCTTTTACGAGACGAAGTACTCGTCCAACTTTCGCCACACGCACCACTCGAAGCAGCGTTGGCGATACGAAATATTTCTCAATCAAGTCACTCAATACGAGACCTAAACAAATAATTCAATAATATATTCCTTGAATTATGCTGAATTTATTCAATTATCGATAGAAAAGTTGAATTAATTTATTTTCAATCATTCTATTATTATCAATTTACCTAATATTGATAAGATAACTACAACAAAGTCGAAGAGATTCCAAGGTTCAACGAAGTAGTGATACCTCAGGGCGAATATCTTCATAAGACATTCCGAACTAAATATCACAATGAAGATCATATTTAGATTGTCTAGTACCATACTATATGTAGAGCTTTGCTTGTAGTGATCCATCGTCATGGTGAGCATATTGAAACCGATGAACAACATAATAATCATGTCGAATTTTTTATTTGTTACTATTTCGAATACTATTGCTTGAGGACGCCACTAGAAATAAAAAATACAATTCATAAATTCACACTAAAACATGATATTGGATTGAAGAAAATAATGTAGAGGTTATTTTTACTGACCCTGGGCCTAGGAATTGCTTTCAATGGTTTCTTCGAACCCATTTTTTTCATGGCATTATAATACTTTTTCTGATCTTCTGTCATGAACATTTCCAAGGAACCACCAGCTTTCTTCTTCTGTTCATTGAAGTTGTCGATGATGACTCCGATAAACAGATTTAAAGTGAAGAACGAACCGAATATGATAAAGAAGACGAAATATAAATACATATAAATGTTCGTCTCTCTTATAGGCTGCTTATCGACCTATGTATAAAATTATGTATTTTATTATTAGGTCAACAATGGATTCAGAAAGCTACTTATAAGAGAAAATTGTCAACTATTCTACTGAATTTGCTAAAACTATTTAAGAAGAAAAAAAGTTTATAATTATTATTGACAAATTTACTTTTGTTTCTTTTATCTCAAAGATGTAGCAAATAAATGTCTCAAAATATACCTCTCTCGAATCAATCGCATCGTTCATAATGGCCATCCATCCTTTGAAGGTGGCCACTTGAAATAGGCACAAATAAGCTTTTCCGACGTGATCGAAGTTCATTGGTGAATTATCCCAAGTGTAGTTTTCAGCTATGCAAGCATTTCGATCTGGTATAATTTCATGACTCAGGGTCGTCTTGTTTGCATCCACGCACTAAAAATAAAGAAATCATGAAAATAAACATAACAAATATTGCAGTTTATTTTACATTTAAAATGAAATTGTGTTTACCTTGAAGTATTTCCCAGCGAATAACTGAACACCCATGATAGCGAATATCAGCCAGAAAATGAGACACACAAGTAATACATTGAAGATGGACGGTATAGCCTGAACGAGAGCGTTCACTACGACCTATATTTGAGTCAAAAAATTATATGAATATGTGAAATATTTTGAGAATTAATTTAATTTACGTATATTTCAAAATTATGGTTTGCATTTAAAGTGAAAGAATATCTACTAATAGTTAAATATCTATTCATATTATCTATAAATATAATGTATTATTGAATATAAATTTTAGATATTTTCAACTGAATTTTTTTTTAATCAGAAGTAATCGGTGCATATAATAATTATATATAAAACCCACCTTGCATCTAAATGTATGAAATTTAAAACATAATTAAGTATTTTTCATAAATAATCATGCAAAGAAATATATTCCATGCAGCACTAATTATACAAGAATGAAGATATACATTTTTAAATAACACATGCGCCAAATATATGAATTACATGAAGATATGAAAAGGAATTTTTAAATTAGATGAATATGTTGCATATCAATGAAACAGTGATCACAAGTAAAGCCAATACTATTACAGCATAAAAAACATGCAAAAGTTATATATATATATATATATATATATATATATTTAATTAATTAAACAATCATTTCTACATCATACGTGTTGACCATGCTAACGATAGATTAATTTCGCAATATTAAATTACAACGAGTTAATAAAAAATAGTAATAAAATTATTTCAGTGTGTCGTATATGATAGTTGCCAGTAATATTGTAAAATGTCTTGATCATTACAATACTATTTGAAGAATGAAGAATGCTTAAACGAATAATGTTCATCGTTTATTCATTGTTTATTTATCACTTGTAGATTTTTTTTAACAGAAGTGGATATTTTACAAGTTGAGTTTAATATGTATAATCAGCTTTAATATATTCATTGAGAGGGCAACCCAGCGGTCTACATATTCTTTGTTACGTGTAAACTGTATTAGATTTACTTCTAATAGTGTTGGCGTGTATGTGTTGCAACAATATCTACGAAAGGTGATTTTTACTTGCGATTATATTTGAGTTAGATCTATAACCTTAAGTAGAAATTGGATATCCAAGATTGAGATTAAATATACCATGGCGGCCTCCATGAAGATTGAAGTGTGCAATATGTTTTGTTTAGCATAATATATGTGCTCGTGTGTGAGATTCTGTTTTGTTAGTATAAGCTATTTCTACGGACTACTATGATATGGTGTGTTGAGAATAAAACTAATCGTTCAGACATTTTATTAAATATAACAGATTGTTAAAAAATTGTCGCAAAGAGTTTACCTACCTTTATCTTTTAAGATAATTATAAAGATAAAGCGGGGGCAGTAAATAAATTGCTTATAAATATAGTATAACTCTTTGCGGCCTTTTCCTAGTTAAATACTACGAATCAAATACAAAACAGTCAATTGAGGATGCGAAAGTTTCTACGGCTACATGAATTATCTACGTTTAAGATGCATAACAAAAACGGGGTCTAACATTTTCGAACGTGTCTACAATTTGAAAATAAAATATGCATAATCTAAATGTGTAGGGCATTCTCTGAGTTTCTAATAAGGGCATCTAATGAAAAACTGAACATTGGTTTTTGAATTTGGGGGTCAGTTGTTGCGCTCTACGTACCCTCATGCCCTGCATACGGCTCATGGCTCTGAGCGGACGGAGCGCCCTTAAAGTTCGCATGGTTTTGAAGGCTTGGATACCTCCTGCACCGGCCAGAGAGGCTACGAAGTTTATGAGCGAGACCTAAGACGCGGCAAGCATTTGGGAAGAAAGAGCATTATGGGTCATTTCATGTTTCCAAATCTCTACACAGTTGAAATTGCTAAGGTAACTTATTTCAGTTCCTATAACGTTCAACGCCTTATGGCAACCTGATTATTCGTTATATTTGATGCTACACTGCATATAGTATCTTGGCATTGCATTTAATATTTATATTAAATACTAAGTGGTGATATTTTTTTAATATAAAACGTTTTATTAATTTCTTTCGTTGTATAACATTGTTAAAAATCGAACTACTAAAAACAAATAAATTATTCATATTGATAAATGCACAATTAAAGCAGTAAGGCTTTTTTACAATATTTGCCAAGACGTTGCATAGGCTATAATACCCAAATATATTACATTTGTATATATACATACATATATATGTATATAATATGCTTATGTATATGTATGTATGTATATTGGGGTGGTCGTTAAATATGGACATTTTCGAATTTCCTTGCTCTCAGGGGCTCAAATGCTCCCAAATTGATAAAAAAATCCTCTATAAGTTTTAGTTCTTAATATTGTCTTTTAGATAGTGCGCAATTCAATTAAAGTTTTGTATGGAAATAGCATGAAAAAATTCTCAAAAATTTCAAAAATGTTTTTCAGATATAACTTAGCGAACAAATAAATAAATGAGTTTTATTCAAAATTCGACGCTCTACAAAACAAATTATAATAAACCTGTTATGTAGAGAATCGAATTTTTAATATAAGATGACACGAATTGTCACTTTTGATTTATTTGTCGCTAAGTTATATATAAAAAACATTTTTTCCATGCTTTTTCCATACAAAGCTTTGATTGAAATGCGCACTATCTAAAAGTTAATATTAAGAGCTAATACTTTTAGAGATGTTTCTCTTATCAATTTGGAAGCATTTAAGCCCTTGGGAGCAATAAAATTCAAAAATGTCCATATTAAGGATTACCCTAATACATATACATATATACAAGAGCACGCATTTCTCTGAAATAGAAAGAATTTGCGAAGAAGACAAGTTAAGAATACACCATCAATTATCAAACCCATCAATAGCCAAGTTGTACACCTGCAACACGATTAAAGCTTTGCAAAAACAATCGTAATTCGAATTACGACTAATTAAATAACAGTTTCGAAACTAGTTTCAATTATGATTATAAAATATTTTTTCGTGTAATTCGAACCACGACGTTTCCCATCGAACACAACACCATCATTGCCATAAACACACCGAAATGAAGAAATGATCAAAAACTGTGTCGCCAACCATGGATCATGGATATGCAGTATGAGGTGACACTAACCAAATCAAATCATAACTTTGGATTACGACAGAGAAAAATCGTTCAGCAATTTCAAGAGAGGGAGAGAGAGAAGGTTATAGAATGCATTTTGGCGTGAAATTGTGATCTCCTCGGTGTACTCTCTCCTTACTTACTCTCATGCCTTCCCAACGGCTGACCGCCCTGAGCGGCCTCAGAGCGCGGAGCGTTCGCATCGAGCGGAACGCCGGGATGTCGGCGGCACCGACCCATATGGCGCCAAGGTTAATGAGCGACAGCTGATTCGTTATTTATGTTTCATATGTGACGAACATTTTTATGGTAATGAAAATAACACATCAGTACTATGAAAGTGACCCTAATAAGCTTAATATTACATAGTATGGTATATGATATCTATTTTGATAATTGTTAATTGACGCCTGATCGTATGGAATAGCAAATGTAGTTTATTACCGTTGTTTTTAGAATAATTATTAAAATATTAGTACCCAATGAGCCATGTTAATGTACGATCATCTGAACTACAATATTCTATTCGTTCATAGCTATAATTATTTAGTATTTCACATAAAGTCTATAAAAGCAAAATTAATTTAGTAATCAATTTAGTAATTTCATAAAAATTTAATTTAGTAGGGTAGAGCGGGGCTAGTTGAGCATAGGGGCAAATTAAGCAATCGAAATATCTCGAAAACTATTCGCCGTCCACTTAGGCATTATATGTCGGAAAGAGGAAGGTATGGGAGAAATAAACATCCCCCGATCGCTAGTGGCCGCTGAACAAATGAGTGAGGCTCACGGACTGGCTTATTTTGAGGTCACGAGTTTTCGTCTGGTTTAGTCAAATGTTATTTATTTTTAATTAGGTAAATGTTATTCTTCCATATAATTATAGTACTTTTAATATGCATAAAGATTCTGGGTGTAAGTCTCACGGTTTTTTTATAAACTCAATTTTATTTTAAAATTCCGAGTTGGGGTTATTTGAGCATAGTTGCTAAACTTGTTCTGTCACTAAGACAATTACCATTAACTTTTAGAAATTAATTATTGTTTTTAGGATTTAAGCTAAGTCCTATGAGTAATAATATAAAGGAGTAATGATTTTAAACAAAAATACTGAATATAATGATAAAATAATTCCTAAGATACGATATTTTTTTGTTGATTCTACTTTTGGTTAATTATTCAAAGCAAATTACTATAAGTTTTGTTTTCTTTGTCAATAAAGACTATAAATATAGAACTGGATATTAAAAACTTATTTCATCATTAATCGACTTTGAACCCATGATTTCATTATAATTTTTTAGTGCTCAACTTGCCCCACCTATGGGGTACATTGAGCATACTTCACTTTTTGCATTTAAACAGCTATAGCTTTTAAATTTCACTCATTACCAGAAAAAAGTATTAACACTTTTGTTAAGCGATAAACAACAAATCCATTAAGCCGTATAGCAATTTATTGAGATTTTTCATTGAAGAGCTACATCCGTTTAAGTAAAAATTTGCTCAACTAGCCCCGTCCTACCCTAATCAATTTTGCATTCTGCTCATTTTAATAATTTTCATTATTTAACTATATTTTAAATTTTTATTATATTTATTGTAATAAATTATATCATTAGTATAAAAATGATTTCTTACCATTACTATAACGAAATCCAGCCAGCACCAGGCGTTCGTAAAATACATTTTGAAGCCAAGCGCCAACCACTTGATCAACATCTCTATGAAAAATATCACAGTGAATATTCGATCCATGTAGTACAATATGTCCTGCAAGATCGGCCGATGTTGGAGATGAACATCCTCCAAAGCCTAAAAATCGTTCATGGTACAGTCACTATAGAAATGGAACATTTTACTTCTGCATACTACTACACATGATAAAATTTACAAGAAGGTTTAATATATGAAAAATTTAAGCTTTGTTTGTTGGTTTTTAATTTTAATCTCAATTTTATAAATGATATAATTAGTTATTTTTCAATTCTGGTTAAAAGAATGTTATTATATATTCGTTTATGACAGTTTAGTTCAAAATATTTCTCACCAGAGCCAAACTACTGAGTAGAATCATGGTGATAACCGCCGTCTCAAAGTACTTGTTCTCGATCAGCTGAAACGTTTTCAGTCTAAGATTTGCCCAACCTTGCCAGAAAGGCGCATCGTCATCCCCAGCAAGAAATGGAAACTTCTTATAACATGGTGGTGGGAAACAGTCGGACGGATACTCGTCCATTCCTGCTGCATCTGGATCTACAACAATTGCGGCAGGATGTAAACCAGGTTCTTCTGGTTCGTCACCTTCTTCGCCTGATTCTCTGTCTTCCAAATCTTAAACAAAAAGGTAATTAAATTTACCTCTGTAAAATATTAATAAAAGATAAAAATAACTGTATTTACCATCATCTAATCCCAGATCTTCTTTACTAATATCTCGTTTTTCTTCTCCTTCCATCGTTTCGGCACTGCCTTTATGACTTTCATCTTTGAATGGTCTATTCAGATGACTTCCGTAAGATTTCACACTAAGTACATCATCCTGCAAGAAATAGATTTTATCATCAAATGTGCATAATATTATAAAGAAATATTTTTTAGTCTGTTTTCTCACCTGTAATCCGTGATTATTAAGTATATCATTTTCTAATCTATTATCCTGGTGATTCCCACTTATGGAGTTGCCAATGGTTTTGGTGTTATTCATTAACATTTTTCCTTTTTTCAGTTTATTTTTTAAATCTCCTAATAGTTAAAATTGGTGAATAATCATTCCCATCAGTAACCACTATATTAATTTTTATATTTTACTCACCATGTATCGTAAATTCCATTCCCTCACCTATCGCTACTTCTAATTGGTTCAAATCTTTGGAAGACTTTCTGAGTATACCATCGGCCAAGATTTCGTCTGTTCCTAATTCAATTTCTGTTTCCCCGGCAAGATCTGAGAGAAGGAAGGGAAAATCCACATTGTGTGGATACAGTAGTTTATATTTTGAAAGTGTTTTACTAATTTGACACAGATTAATAAAACCATCAAAATTTAGAAAAATTCAATTATTTTTGGAAAATGACATTCTAAAGTAACACCTGCAAGATGATTATTTTGTTATTCAGTGTCAACTTCACTAGTAGTTTTAGTTATTTATCTTGCAAATGTTTGTTTTATTCTAACATATATGCTCTCATGGATATTTTTATTTAATCGATTTCAGTAAAATATTGATTACAGTTGTAAAAATGTACAAAGCAATGTGCCAAAGCTTATTTGCGTGTTATATGCCAAGTTATATGCGAAGCTGTAAAATAAAAAAAATATATTGATATTTAAAACTTAAAAGCATTGTAAGTGGATTTGTACAAAGCGTGAAAATTTTTTAAAGCATATTTTGCAGTACTTGATCGCATCATATATAATATATTTTCAATACCAATTGATATATAAAATGTTCATAAAATTTATTATTACTATTTCCATGAAAGCACAATGTACATAATTTCAAATGAACAGAAAAGTAAAACCAATTCCACCAATTTAGCAAATCGAGCGAATCGATCTCATCTCAAATATCTCGATATTATGCATACATTACATGAACGGAAACCGTAAATATTATTTGCAAAGCGTTTTATTAATTTCAAAAAGCGCGTCTATTTAAATGAACTACACGATTTACGCGACGTGATATTTAAGTGAGCGAGATGATAAAAACCTTCTTTCCAACTGGTGGACGGGCCCTCACCTGCACCGTGGCGATCGGATATCTGATTCGTCAGTTTGTTCTTAACCAATTTAGCTGCATCAGCTATATTTCTTTTGACCCAATTGATGAAACGAGATATTCTGTTGAATGCCTCGGCGATCTTGTTTGTGTCGTTGTCCGCTGTTGGGGCTGATAAGCTCGAAGAACCGAAGTTCGACAAGAGCAAGGCCAAGAAGAGATTCAATACCTGTTTGATAATGTTCAAATATAATTCAGTCGATTATAAATTCACTATGTAACTGCACTGAAATAGGTGGCAACCTGCTTTAAATATATTACAGCCGTGGGTTTCGAACCCGATCAGTTTCGACTTTTTTATCTACTAACGCGAAAGAAAATTACGGTGACGCGCTAACCAACTCAGCTATAACGTTTCACTAACTGTGCAATAAAAGTCCAATTTGCTTGAATGTTTGTTAATTTTAAAGGAATAACAGATCAATCAATTTGTCAGAAACTCGTGTTGACAGTGTGTAGAGCTTTTTAGCATTTTGAGAGAAAAAGTCCATTTACTCAAGAATTAAAAAATTACAAACTAATTTAGAATTCATTTGTTTTAACTAGCACGATAGTTCTAAAGATTTAAATGTTTTTCAAAAATATCATATATGTATATAAAAATAGTAATATATATTAAAATGTCATTGGCATTGGCTCTAAGGGCACCATTTTGTACCCCACTTATTTAATCATATACTTACCACAAAATTACCAATGACAACAGTAGCCAAAAGAAAGGAATACAGCTGACATCACCTACAAGCATGCAATCCCACATAGACTCTATCCATTCTCCACAAAGCACACGAAACACAATCATAAATGAATGCATGAAATCCGTGAAGTTCCATCTAGGTAGCTCTCCATCGGGAAAACGATCGACTTTATCTATATAACAATACAATTTTATATGAAAATCATTCATCACATATTATTATAATTGGATTCAAAATCTTCTTACCGTAATAATTTTTTCCAAACAACTGCATACCCATTACGGCGAATATGAAGATGATAATACACAACACAAACGTTAGATTACCCAAGGCACCCATCGTTCGACCCATAATGGATATAGCAAATTCAGCGTTGGCCAAGATTTAGCTAATTTGAATACTCGGAGCTG